TAAGTGGTCTGCAGGGATCCTTACGTGCAGATGAACGGCCCCATTTTCTATCTGTGTTTGACACGATGCGTCTAGTGCAAAGGTGGGGAACCTGCACCCTCAAGGCCCTCTAGGTCCTCAAGTGGGGCACTTTGACTGATAGCATATTTGGGTCTAGCTTCCATGGAGGATACACAGGAAACCATGGTTAAGGAAAGCCCTGAATGAGGTGCGGAGCACTTATGAGCGCCACCACTGGAGATCACCAATCCATTGAAGTTGATATGGAAGAGGTGGCTGATAACCAACACTGTGGTTTTCCACACCCATTGGTAGCAGCAGAGAGCAAACTATTTTGACATTTCCCCAAATCTTTGATTGTTATGTATCCCACTAACAAACTGCATTATGTAAAAGGCTCATGGGAGGAGGGGGAATGAGTAAAAGAGGTTGCTTATCACATGGATGTACAGAGTGCCAGAGAAGGGCATGGCTGGAAATCAAGCACAGTGTGGTTGCCTTGAGCCACTGCTTGGCCATCCACTGCCAATCCCACATTCTTGATGTCCCATTTCATTAGCTGCCACCACCCCAGACTCACACCTCAGAAGACAGAGGGACTGTTTTAAGCTTCCATCGCTCTTGTGCTCTTGAAAGGGCACCAAAAGGAGTGGATTACCAAGAAGGGACTAAGAAGGACGTCAAATGAGTGAAATTTGTGTCAAGCAAACCTGGAAGTTGGATAATAGCAGAGAAGGTTGTTATTATTTAATAAGAGAGTCAGAGGACCAGAAATGACCTGGAGGGATTCTCTGTATACAGACTCATGACCTGGGGTAGACAGCACGGCAGGGTTAACTTCCTATGGCTAAGAAATTCATTAGCTTGTGCCCTCGAATCATAGCAATCCTGGACAGAATGTGGGGACTAACTTCGTATGCTATGTGAAAACCACCATGTTAAATGATGTTTTAACAAATGAGTTGGTGATAGGGGTGATAAAACAGTGAAAATGTGCCTTCAGCCCCTGGGCAGTGGAAGCCACCATTGTTGTCTTCCATTGTTAGCAAATTTATAACTAGTCATGATTGTAGAGAAGGGATCCCAAAACTTTTAGCCATTTGTTGACCCCCCTGGTTCTCTTGGCACACCATGGGTGCATAGCAGTGAGGACAGCAGGATGTACTCCCCTTTTTCTGAGCCCAAAAAGGAAAGCAATTACGAGTGTTGAGTGACTGTTGCCTCAGTCTCTTAACTACACTGGAAAAGTTATTTTTTAGGATCATTTGCTGATGAAATCAAGAATATACATCTTGATAGCCAAGGCATCATTATCTCAGAGTGGAGAAAAAAGTGAAAATAAGGACTTTGAAATTTCTTTTTTTTTTCCTTTTTATCATTTCCCATATGTCGTCTTTTGGGATTCTTCCTCTCTCTCCCTCTCCCCCCTTGTTAGTGTTCTCTACTTCTTGAAATTGCTTTGTATGTACTTTGCAATAACTTGGTATCATCTTATTTGTGTACATTGTGCATTCTCCCCAGGGGAATATAAGCTCCTTGAGGGCAGAATCTGTTTTGTTTTGCCTCTGTATCCCCAGCTCCTTCCTTACCAGTGCTTCCTTACCCACAATAGGCAGGCATTGGAGAACCACTTATTAAGTTGAATTGAAATATCAAACATGAATTTATGCATTGGGGTCTACTATTATACACCATCAATATACAGCAACACTTTTTCTCATACATATAAAGGATCTGGAGGTGTGATTTTGGGGCGTTCTTCTCTGATAAGAAGAGCAAGAGTTTAGGTAAGAAAATTTCTGAGAAAAAGTAAGAAGAAACCAGAGAGAGTAGACAGGCAAAAACACTTGGCTGTTATGTTATCCCTTAGAAAGTCTAAAGTCACCTAAAGTTTGCCTGTGGCCAACAATCATTTACTAAGGGCCCACATATACAAGATACTGCCTGTGATGCTAAGAATATAAATACAAAAATAACACATTGCCTGCCATTAGGGAACTTGAGTTCTATGGACCGTGACAACAAGAACACAAGGAAGGAAATGTGATGTGTTTAGAAAGTAAACAAGAGTAGGAGGAGTGGGGGGAGCATTCCTGGCATCCTGTGCAAAGACACAGAGGTGGTCAATGAAATGATGAGTTTGGGGAAAGTACAAAGAGGCCACTATGGCTGGATGGTAGCCTGTGTGAAGGAGAATGGTGGTTGAAGTCAGTCTGGAAAGATCAGTGACAGCCTGACTGTGTAGAGCTTCACATACTAAAGACAGAAGTTTCCATTTTGCTCTATGAGCAGACAAATGACATGATCGGACCCTGGCTTTAGGAATATCAGCTGGCAGGTGATTAGGAGATGGGTGGAGAGAAGAAGGGAAAGGCTGGTTCTTTTGGAAGGGCAGCCATTTTCCTGATAATGCCCTCCAACCCAATGGGAAGAGCCAGAAATTGTCCAATCTGCAGGATTGCTGTCTAATACTGATAACACATGTATGGACAACTAATTTTATTTTTTTCTCGAGTATCTTCACTGTTCCGTTTTTCCCTTATGAGAAAAAGTGTGTGTATATGAGAGAGAGAGAGAGAGAGAGAGAGAGAGACTGAGAGAGAGATTGAGAGAGAGAGGGAAAGAGGGTAAGCTATTAGTTTGGTCTCCAAAATCAATGCCAACATGAACTTGACTCTGCCAACAAGTATTTGGTTTGGCTCTGCATGACTTAGGCTGAACAAACATTTGCCTATTTCAGAAAGATTTACCCGGCTCTATAGCAGGCATTGGTGCCATCTGGCATGTCACCATGACTGTGGGGCACAGTCAGGAGAGACCTCTTGACCACGAATTTTTATTTGCCCAAGGTCGCCAGCATTCTGGGCTTTGTCACTACTTCGGTCAATGGGCTACTCAGTAAATAAATGCTTTTTCAGGCTGAAAGCTCACAAATCTGGGATTCCCCAGTTGATCCTGAATTGTTTCTGTCTTTGGATCTCAGTTGACTAAATGAACATCCCAGTGAATCCTTATGGGTAAGATAGGCTGAATAAGTACCCAAATTGACCATTAAAAGCTTCAGACTGAGCTGGTCACACATCTAGCCATAAGCTCTAGCCAAACTCACTCCTACCTTCCCAGAGGTATAGAGGTGTGATGCTCGTGTCCTATGCTTAGAGAAATTGTCAAGTGTAACCATCAGAAAACTGGATAAACATCTTTAATGATGGAGGCAACCTGGTGGCTCAGTGGATAGAATGCAGTGGCTGGTGTCAGGAAGACCTGAGTTCAAATACAGCCTCAGACACGTATCAGCTGTGTGACCATGGGCAAGTCTCTTAGCCTCTGTTTGTCTTAACCCACTGGAGAAGGAAATGGCAAACCACTCCAGTGTCTTTGCCAAGAAAACTCGCATTGGTGTGCTATGGTCCACAGGGTCAAGAAGAGTCAGACACAACTGAATGACTGAACAACAATTATAAAAGCAGGAAATTATCACACAATGGTTTTTACATGGACTGAGCAGGCAAGATCCTCTGTGACATGTATTATTCCTATCAATCTGAGGGAGTTTCCTGCCTAGGGCACCCAGACTTGCTCAGGTATGGCTCATAGGCAAGACTTATACCTAGGTCTTCACAGGACCATAGATTTAGAAGTGAAAGAGACTGAGGAAATCATCACATCCACCCCAGTCATTTTACAGAGGAGGAAATCAAAGCTTGGAAAGGCAAACTGATTTGCCCACAGTCACATAGCCAGAATGAGTCAAAGGCTGAACTTGAACCCAGGCCTTCTTGACTCTACCCCCTTTGCCATGATGCCTCTTGATCAATTTTCTAAGAACCCAAGTGGCAGAAGTGGTGCCCATCTACATTGGCAGAGAGAGTTTCCTTATCAGCTATTCCCTGCACCAATGAAATCACAGGCCAGGTTTAAAAAGACACCTATCAATGTCCAATGGCACAGATGTACATGGATCAATCATTCACTCAATGCATGACTGGACTTTAAAGCATGTAAGACCTAGGACCTTTGGAGTAGCTGCAGTGCTCTGCCCGATACATACATTTCCATCCTGGCTGCTTTCAATACTGGCTTCAGATGCTACATCCTGCCGCTGAGAAGGCCTCCCTGTTCTCCAAAGCCAAGCCCACGAAACACAAACTTCGGAAGCTCCCCCCACCCAGGAGAGGACTGAGGCCCAGCGTAGGCCTGTGATCCTACAGACCCAGAAGCAACTAGCTAAGTCGGTTTCAGAGGCTTCACCCCTGCTTAGCCCCAGGGCGATGAATTCCTCAGTCACAGTAATTCTTGAAGACCATCTCCTGAGTTGCAGAACGATCGCATCTTGCCTCCGTGGAGAGAATAACCACACTGAGAGAATTGCTGAGCCTTGAAGCCAGTATTATTGCCACCTTATTTTAGAGGATCATGGGAAAATTTCTTGTGACCATAATTTTATTTTAGAAGTGGAGGAGGCTGATGGGAGATGTAGCTCTGGTCCTTTAAAAGTCAACGTCAAATGAGCAGACTTACCTTGAGATGGTTTTGCAGGAGCTCAGATTGAATAAAGAAAGTTTGGGTGATATTGGGGGCATGTATTTTTCATATCTAATACTTACTTGGGTAGAAATATCAGGAAAATACATTTAGAAACGAGCTGACATGAGGGAGAAAGTCTGATATCCTTTCTGTAATACCTAAACCCATCCAACATACATCTTCCACCGAAGCAAAATAAAGACAAAGACACAAATCTGGGGCATCCGTTAAAGCTTTTTTGGAAATGCTGCACTTTCCAAATATCCCTTTCACCCTCTATGTCTCCCAGTTCACTGGGGACAATTTTCCTAACAAACACTCTCAAATGTGAGCCAGTCTGTTTATGGGCCTTGAACAGAAAGCCCTATTCATAGGAAACAAGGAGCCGGGTCACTGCAGTGACCCACACTCTGGGCTGGCAGGCAGCACACCCAAGCAAGGCGGGGTAAAACAAGGAAGGAGACGCTCCTTACCATCTTGGCCTCTGAATGCATCGGCTGGACCTGGGGAGATGCGCAGGGATTATTGAGGTTTGGGCCTTGCATTCCCATGATGTTGGAGTTCACAGACATCTGCCGCTCCATCTACAAGAGAAGAAATCAGCAGAATTAAAAATGAATACTGAGAAAAGTCCTGCGGGGTGGACCCAAATCTGCCAGGGATCTCTGAACGGACAAGTCTGGGTTTCTTTGAATAGCCACCGAGAAAACCTGTTTGGTGGATGACACACAATGCCCATCTGAGGTCCAACATCAACACTGTTTTGTGCCTAGAGACAATAGCAAGCCATCTAGCTGTGGACCTTTCTTCAGAGACCTCCTCAGTGGCTAGGGGCATACAGAGTGGTTTCAGAAGATAAAATAGTTTATTTTTCTCTAGCCCTTGAAGGCTTGCGAAGAGGTAGGGAGTGTAGGTATTATGACTCCTATTTTACATATGACAACCCTGAGGCCCAGAGTGGTAATATGACTGGCCAAGGGTCACACAGCTAGTGTCATCTATAGTAATTAAACGCAGCTCTCCTTCCTCAGAGCAGCTGGGTGTCATAGTGGAGAGAATGTTGGACTTGTCTCAGAATTCTTCCTCTTCTTGTTTGAGTTGTTGAGTTTTTTTTTTTCCCAAGTCAGATTTGTGACTACATTTGGGGTTTTCTTGGCAAAGATATTGGAGAGTGATTTGCCATTTCCTTCTCCAGCTCATTTTACAGATGAGAACACTGAGGCAGACAGGGTTAAGTAACTTGCCTGGGGTCACACAGCTAGGAAATATCTGAGGCCAGATTTGAGGTCAGAAACATGAATCTTCAGATATTACAATGCTTCAGACATTTACCTGAGGTTAAGTTTCTTAACCTGTTTCAGCGTCAGTTTCCTTATCTGCTAAATGGGAATAATAGTGACACCTACCTCTCATGGCTGTTGTGAAGATCAGATGAGATAATATATGTTAAGTATTTTGCAAACATTAAAATGCGATACAAAAGCTAGTGGTTGTTGTAGTGGTAGTGGTGGTGATGATGGTGATGATGGTGATGGTGGCGATGGTGGTGATGGTGGTGATGATGGTGGTGATGGTGGTGATGATGGTGATGTTGGTGATGTTGGTGATGATGGTGGTGGTGATGGTGGTGATGGTGGTGATGGTGATGATGGTGGTGATGGTGATGATGGTGGTGATGGTGGTGATGGTGGAGATGGTGGTGGTGGTGGTGGTGGTGGTGGTGATGATGATGGTGAAAATGGTGGTAGTAGTGGTGATAACGGTGGTGGGGGGGGCTATTATTATTATTCCTGATTGATAGGCTCATAGACTTATAGCTCAAAGGGACCCCAGGGGTCATCTAGTCCAAATACCTCATTTAATAGAGGAGAACGTCAGGGCTCAGAGAGGGGAGGTATCTTGCCTAAAGTCACACAGGGGTCAGAACCAGGATTCCCACTCAGGTCTTTTGATTCTAAAATCAGTATTCTTCCCATTGGGTCACATTGACCTTGTATCCCAGAACCTAGGACAGTGCCTAGCACATAGTAGGCACTTAATAAATGTTTGTTGATTAAGTGACTGACTAGTACTTACTAGGTGCTTAATAAAGACTCATTGACTGACTAACATCTATTTTTTAAATTTTGAGTTTCAAATTCTCTCTCTCCCTCCCCTACCTACTGAGAATTATTCCTTTCAAATGGAGAACTGAAATGGCTTATTTTGTCCCCAGTATCTCCTTGGGAACATGGACATATTGCCTACATGCCATGATCTGGGGTACTGAGGTAACAAGGGCATCCTGGCTCATTCCATATTCTCCTTAACAGAGAATGCTCCTACCTACCATGATCCTCAGTTTTCAAAGAATCCGAAGAAGGCCTCCAAACATACAATGCCAAAGTGGGGCTAAGGGAGCTAGAATCTTTCCCTAAACGTTTACAAGGGCCCTTAGATCCTGCAGGGTCTCGTGGTGCTGGCTATGAACATCTGTTTGCATTTTGGTACAGATGGGCCAAAGTGCTGATTCACAGCTCTGCCCAGTGACACCTGGAGGGACAGTCAACAGAACGTGTACTCTCCAATCCCTGCTGGCATCTTGTCTCCCTCATTAGGATATACGCTCCTTGAGGGCCGGGGCCACATTTTCTACCTTTCTTTGTATCCAGTGCCCGGCACATAGTAAGTGTTTAATGGTAACTGGCTGACTTGACTGGCAGGTCCTACTGAGCTGGAAAAGCTCTAAGCTTCAGTGATAGACTGCCTGTGCTAAAAAGCCCAGCCCAGCCACGTCTACAGAAGGTCCTTCGCTCATTGCCAGAAGGTTGCCCAGCAGGTAGTTAAACCTGAAGGGCACAGTGATTCATGAAGGACCCACAACACCAAGAGATGGGGTATGGTGATCTGCTTCAGCACAGGAAGATCACTATCATTAAAAGTACCAATAGATGTAAAAAAATATTTATGGCAGCTCCTTGTGGTGGCTAAGAATTGGAGAGCAAAGAGATGCCCATCAGTTGGGGAATGGTTAAACACGTTGTGGCATATGAATGCAATGAACACTATTGTGCTACAAGAAATGACAAGCAGGATTAGTTCAGATAAACCTGGAAAGACCTCCATGAACTGATGCTGAGTGAAGTGAACAGAACCAGGAGAATGGACTAATAGCATACGATCTGCCTCCGGAGAAAGAACTGATATTGACTGAATACAGACTGAAGCATGCTATCTTTCACTTTCTTTCTCTCATTTTTTTCTCTTTTATTTAAGTCTTCTTGTTTACAATTACTAAAAAGGAAATGTTTTTCATAACTGCACATGTATAACCTATATCTGACCGCTTATCGTCTTAGGGAAGGTGGAGGGAAAGAATTTGGAACTCAAAACTTTAAATAAAAATGTTTTCTAAAAAAGTACCAATAAGGCCCTCTGGGACACCTTTGATCCTGTAATTCATTCAGTCTAAGACTGACAGCTGCAAGGGCCTGAGAGGCCACCTAATCTAATCTCTAAATTTTACAAATGAGGAAAGCAAGGCTCAGAGAAATTAAGGGGCATACCCGGTTCACACAGCTAGGATCAGAGGCAGGATTTGAGTCTAGGCCCTTCTGACTCCAAGAACATCATGGTGCCCCCTCTTGTTCACAGAAGAGCAATGGGAGTAGGGCTCAGGGCCTTTTGGGGGTGGAGGCAGGGGAGCGTTAAAGGGGAGAACGAGTCAAGTGAAGGTGGTGAGCTTGGACGGCAGTCTGGAGTGGTTCCTCCAGACTCAGTGACTCCTTGCTCTTCTCTACCTTCCCCATCTGCTGGCTAAACAACTTCTCAATGGCAGCCAGCGGATGGTGGCCCCCAGGCCTGGCAGGGCCGTGGTAAATCCTCACGTAGTGGAGGGCAGCATAGTGCAGTGGGCAAAGCACTGTTATGTGGGGCAGGAATCAGGAATCCAAGTCCTAGCTCAGCTAGTTATGACCTGCGCAACCCTGGGCAAGTCACAACCTCTCTGTTCCCACATATATACAACCAACCCATGTTTATTAAGCACCTCCTCTGTGCCAGGCTCTGTGCTAAGCACTGGGAATATAAAAGGAGGCAAAAGCCAGGCCCTGTCCTCAAGAAGTTTACAGTCTTTGACCTTACTAGTTGTGTCACCCTGGGCAAGTCACTTAACCCGGATTGCCAAAGCAAAAACAAAAACAAAAACAAAAAAAAAAAAAAAAAGAAGTTTATAGTCTATGGGGTGGGGCAGGGAACATACAAATAAATATTTACAAAGCAAGCTATATTCAGGATAAATCAGAGATCATTAAAAGAGGGAAAGCAGGAGAATTAAGAGGGGTCAGGAAGGCTTCCTGTGGAGGGTGGGATTTTAGTTGGGACTTGAAGGAAGCCAGGGAGGTCGGTAGTCACAGTGGAGGAGAGAGAGAACTTTCCACTCACGGGGGACAGCCAAAGAAAATGCCAGACACAAGAGACAGAATGTCTTGGGGTTGGAACGGCCAGTAGGACAATGTCACTGGATCGAAGAGTATGTGTCATGTAGTAAGGTAGGAGAAGATTGGAGAGGCAGGAGGGGGAGAAATTATGAAGGGCTTTGGATGTGAGAGGCAGACCAGATCTGGGGGCTCTAAACTTTTTAAACTGTTTTTTCTCTTGGTAGGTTTACTGTGGGGGGCGGGGTAGGAAATTTCTCAATGGCACCCCGGGTAACTACCACTGTAGATGTGGTTACATTGGAGAATATCCCTATGATGGGGTATCATGGGAAGGCTGGGATATGACCCAACTTCCCACCCTTGAATTAACCCATTTTGTGCAATTAATTCATTTTGACAGATAGAGGGCGTGAGGCACAGGAAAGCAGGATATTCCAAGCAACAGGGATTCTATAAAGAAGTGAGGAGGAGGGCAGACACATTGGGCATGCAGCCCAGTGCTTTGCTCCAAAACATAAAAGTCTCTTATTTTCTGACCATTTTGGAGAGGCATTTTGGTATCATGGAGAGAGTGATGGAATTGGAGTCAGAAAGGATCGGGTTCAAATTCCACCATTTGAAGTTTATTAGCTCTATCTAGTCATTTCACCCTTAACCTAATCTGGGCAACTGTCTCAGATTTAGCTACAAAGCTACTAAGGGGTTGTGATGGGTGAGGTGGAGGGAGCTCCCATCGCACATCCTTCATAGTTCTTAGCTTTTTTTTGGTGTTGGGGGTGGGAGGCTGGACCTCCCTCCTGGACAGGCAGTCTGGTGAAGCTTAGGGACTCTTCAGAATCATGTAATTAGATGCATAAAATAAAATACATAGAATTACAAAGGAAACCAATGATATAGAAATACAGTTATTAAAAAAAAACCCACCAAGTTCATGGACTTCAGGTTAAGATATAAGAGAATGTAAGATATAAGTGAAAGCAATAGGACAGGCAAGGAATAGGAGAAACAGCTAGGAAACAGAAACCCTTACCGGCATCAGGACTGCTGAAGAGCTGGGCATGGTAGGGTTCGGCAGGGTCCCGGGCATAGAGGCTGGCATGGGCTGTCTCTGTCTGTTGTGAAGGTGCAGTAGTGACGATAGAGAGCCTGGGACAGGCCTAAGAAGGAAGGAAGGAGAAGTCACCATCATTCTCAGCCCGGAGTACATTAGTACTAAGAATCCCATGCCCAAGAGATCCAATTCACCAGTAGAGTATGCATGTCAATGAGGATCTTGGGGGAAAATAATAATCAGATTTTCCATCCATCAATTAATCAATAAACATTTATTAAGTGCCTACTATGTACCAAGCATTGTGCTAAACACTGAGGATACAAAAAGAGGCTTAAGACAGTCTCTGCCCTCAAGGAGCTCATAATCTAATGGGGGAGATGATATGCAAACAAGTACATACAAAGCAAACAATATGCAGGATAAACAGGATAAATATTCACTCTAATAGCTTGAGTTCACATACTGCTTTAAGGTTTGAGAAACACTTAATAGGCATTATATGATCAAGGTTTTTTTTTTTTAATCTCTGAGGAAGCATTAGGACATTGGGCAGAGTTCAGAATCCAGAAAGGAAGTGGGTTCAAAACCTCTGTCACGCAAATGCTGGAGAAGATGTGGAAAAACGGGGACACTGATGCACTGCTGGTGTAATTCTGGAGAATTACCATTCTGGAGAACAATTTGAAACTATGGCCAAACGGTTATAAAACTCCGTATACGCTTTGACCCAGCAATACCATGACGAGGTTTGTATCCCAAGAAATCAAAGAAAAGGGGAAAGGGTCTATATATACCAAAACATGTATAGCAGCTCTTTTTTGTGGTGGCCAAGACTTGGAAATTGAGGGGATGCCCATCAATTGGGGAATGGCTGAACAAGTTGTGGTATATGAATGTAATGGAATGTTATAAGAAATGATGAGCAGGATGGTTTCAGAAAAACCTGGGAAGACTTATATGAACTGATGCAAAGTGAAATGCATAGAACCAGGGGAACATTATACACAGTAACAGCAACATTGTATGATGAAGAACTGTGAATGACTTAGCTATTCTCAGCAATCCAATCATCCAAGACAATTCCAAAGGACTCAGATTAAGCATGCTTTCTGCCTCCAGAGAAAGAACTGATAAACTCTGATTGCACACTGAGACACGCTTCTTTTTTACTTCCTTCGTGTGTGTGTGTGTGTGTGTGTGTGTTTCTTGTGTGACATGGCGGATATAAAAATATTCACATTTATGATCAATATGAAATTGTTTGCCTTCTCAAGGGGTGGGAGAGGGGCAGGAGTGAAGCAGAGAATTTAGAACTCGATTTTTTAAAAAACATGAATGTTAATTTTTTACATGTAATTGGGAAATAATTAACTAAATAAAAATAAATGTTGAAAAAAAAACCCTCTGTCAATTACTGTATGTGTGAAATTGGCCAAGACACTTAAACTTGTCGGAATCTAGATTTAGAGCTTGAAGGAAACTCAGGGTCATCTAGGTCAACTCTTTCATTTTACAGATGAGGAAACTGAGGCCTAAGGAGAGAAGTGACTCGCACAGCTAATAAACAGCAGAGCTGGGATTTGAATCCAAACCTGGGACTCCAAAGGCAGCCCCCTTTCACGGTACCCTGTGACCTCCAACTTTATCTTTCTCCTCCTTCCTTTCCTCACCTGTAAAACGAGGGGGTTCGATGAGGTGACCCCTATGGGCCCTTCCGGCTCTAAATCTTTTTTTCTAGGGACCTAGGCTGGGATATGGTCACATGTGCCCTCTCTGGATCATGTTTTTTCAGGGCTAGAAATAACTCGTGTCATTCCCTCCGTCCCGGGCCTCTCCTGGAAGCCTGCTCTCATTGTAAGCAGCCCCATGTCCTCACTCCCTGCAGGGCCAACTTCATCTGCTGGGTCACAACAGAAATCTACTGGAGCTTCTCTCTCGGATGAGAAAACAAACCGAAAGCCTCCGGTGCCGGCTTCCCCACACAAAGAACCAAGGGCAGCTTCACCCTCCGTCACTCGGGCTTCTGCTGGGAGACTGGAGATTCCAGGCTCCCAGTTAGAAATCAGCCATTTTATAATAACTCAAGGTGTTAGGTTGCTTGACAGAAACTCTCTGATTTTTGGCCTGACCTCCAGCACTTGTGCAAGCCATCCTCTGGGGAGCCCCAAGTCTGAGCTTTGCCGCCGCACAGAAAGAGGAAAAAAAAACCCTTAAATGGATTTAATGAGTCAGGGAACATGGGACTGAGGGAAAATGGGAATTGTTTGTGTTTATTAAAAATGGCAAATAAGCTCACTCCCTTTTGAAGCCCTCCCCCTCGGTGTGTCTCAGCTCTGCGGATCTGTATGAAGGCTTAAAAAAAAACAAATGAAAACATCTCACGACATTCCAGGTGGCTCATTTGTGATAACTTTACTCTGAGTTTTGCCCTTAGAAACATAAAGTTTCATTTATCGCTGGCTTCCTTGCTGTTCCATGACACCATTTCCAACTCCAGGCACTTCGCTGCCTGCCCCATGCCCAAAATGCTCCCCCTTCTCACTTTTGTCTCCTGCCTTCCCCAGCTTCCTTCAAGCCCCAGATAAAATCCCACCTTCTACAGAAATCTTTTCCTGATCTCCCTTAATTGTAGTGTCTTCTCTGTTGATTATTTTCAATGTATCCTGAAAATATCTTCTTTGTACGTAGTTGTTTGCGTATCGTCTCCCCTAGTAGACTCAGCCCCTTGAGGGCAGAAACAAGATATGGACAGTACAAAGATCAACTATTAGGAGAATCATCCGTGCAGCCTGGTTACATTGTAATGTCGCTTTAAAAAAAAAAATACAAAGATCAGAAATTGCTAGGACTGTTAAATCATGGTTATTAGTCCAGTAGGATGGACAAATCCTCCTCAAGACTTGTTTGTGTTTTTGTATCCTCAGTCCAGTGCCTGGCACATAGTAAGCTGCTTGTTGGATTGGACTGAATTATTGGGAAGATGTGGGAGGCCAAGATAAGCAATGAGATTCGATGTTCCCTCTCTGGTTCATACAGCCTGACACAGCAAAAGATGACTACCTTTGCCACTTTCTTTGCTAGAAATGATAAAAAGCCTCCTTTAGAAATCCTAGCTGACTGTCTCAGATACATACATGCTGGGATATTAATTACAAATATGCATGGATCCACAGAGTTATACGCCTATGATTTCTCCAACTTCTCCAAGTGCTTATAGACAAATACCTAAAGTTACAAATATATACGTATACTCACATTCACGAAATATGTAGGGAAAAACAAGAGAGTGAAATCTATATTCACATAGGAGAATCAACGTGGTGTAACAGAAAGTGTGTTGGCTTTGGAGGCAGGAAGAAGTAACTGGGTTCAAATCCCTTATAATCTACGTCATCACCCTGTGACCATGAGAAAAAGTTCACCTTTCTGAGCCAAAAAGCTAAAGACAGGTTGAGATCTGCATTAGTGGAGGGCAGCCCACATCTGGAAGTCTCTGAAAGAAGGAGTCACCTAGTCCAGTCTCTTCCTTTCAATAGCAGGGGAAACTGAAGCTCAGGGAGTTGGTGACTTGTCCAAGATCTAACAGATAGTTACCAACCCAAAAGTGGGATCTTCCAATTCAGAATCTAGCATTCTTTTCCCTAGCACAATTTACTCTATCGTTAATCATTCTAAATATCTTTTAATATATTCCAACTACCTTAGGGATCGACTTCCAGCTGGAAGGGTCCTTCATTAAGTCCAGCCCCTTAATTTTACAGATTGGAAAACTGAGGCCAAGAAAGGTGAAGCACCTTGGGTTATATAGGAAATCAGTCAGTGGTAGAGCTGGAATCAGAATCTGGGTCCTCTGACTTCAGTCTGGTGTTCCTTGCCCTGCACCAAGCAGGGACAGTTTTATGGACATACGTTATCATATAAAATGATAAAAGCTGGTCCAAGTGAGTGGGGGGGGGGCTCCTTGTTTCTTTGGATTTAGATTAACCCCATACATTAGCACCCCAAATGACTGGATTTCATTCACAGATGTGGCTTGTGCTTTTAAAAACTGGAAGCAGAATGTTTAAACTATCACTTTCTACTACGAAGTTAATTTTTGATGTTATGAAACATCAGAGTAGCTCCTTTACTTTCTGGATATATAACTGAATTAGAAAGACCTGGGTTAAAGTCTTGCCTTTGATACAATAAGTAGCTCTGTGACCCTGAGCAAGTCACTCCTTCTCAGTGTCCCAGGCAACTCTCTGAGACTAAGTTACACAGAGTTTCCACTCTGATAAAATTAAAAGCTCTCCCTCCCCTTACAAAAATTGGATTATAAGTGGAGAATTGAGGCAATTATCAGGATAAATCAGCCCATAAAACACTTTTGCCTGAAATATCCAGATAATTGAGGCAAAAGTGGTTTGGGGTCAGAATTATTGGAGTAATTGCTTTAATTCTCCACTTCCCTTTGTATATGCAGACATCACCATAATTGTTATGATAATATATTGCACTCATATGATGGTTTAAACTTTTCAGGTCAACAGAGGGTAGGGCGGTGGATATGATTTCCCTCATTATTCAGACATGGAAATTGAAACTCCAAGACCATGTCTTCGTGTCCCACAAGGCAGTGAATGACAGAGCCCAGAACCAGCCTGACTTCAGCCTGCTACCTCCATACCTGAATGTGAAGCAGGGAGGGATTCTTGGTCTAAAGCTCAGTGAAAAGAAACTTTTCACCATATATTCATGTGTTCTCATGCTTTCTTTGTGTCATGGGCCCCTCTGATATTCTGGGGAAGTCCAAGGACGCCTGCTTAGAATGATGGTTTTAATGCATAAAATAAACTACATAGGATTACCAAGGAAACCAATTATATTGAAATCATTATCAAAATACTAAATAGAAAAGTTAATGGACTCCAGATTAAGAAGCCCGGGTACATTCCCACCTTTAGTCTCATAATTTTTTTCAGAGCAATTTATAGAGTAATACTGGAATGCCTCAGTGTAACTAAGATAAGAGATCATGAATCCATTTCAAATGATATTCTTCTTCCTCCCTTTCCTTTTAAACAACTTTATAAATCACACAGAATGAAGGCTAGGAAAATA